AGCTACAAAAAGTAAGTGTGTTGCTGAACTTAGCGGAGAAATGCAGAAAAGTGAAATGATTTGAATCAAAATTGTTTCTGCTCAAATGCATTGCAATGACTTTGTTGAAAACTTGAAATTGAAATGTTAAACTGGAAGAGTAGGAAAAATAGTGTAGAAGCTTAATATTTAAAAGAAGGTTTAAAAAAAGGATAAACAAATAAATGTATAGCCTCAATGTCCTGAAATAGCTGAATAATGTAATAGTTGAATGGTTTATGTAGCTGAAAGTAGGCTGAAGGAGTTCAATATCAGATGTACGTAGTAGTGAATGAATGTGTGATAAGAGAAGAAAATAAAGTAAAAAGGCTTTGAAAAGCATCATAATATTTTAACTGCAAACTTTTTAACTAACTTGATGGCGAGTGATCTGTCGCCATGGTAACGGCATTTGATGACACCCCATAATACGCGTCGTTACCAAACCTGTGAAGTTTTGGGCCGTTTGGAGCATTTGCCCTGAAGTTATGAGAAAACCGTGTTTCATGGTGAGCATTGTGTTGCCATGGCAACGGCATTTGAAGAAATCTCAAAACTGTCACGTAGATGTCTTCACGGCTGGACTGTTAGCACACATGTGAAGTGTGAGTACACACTAATGTTAAAATCTGAAGAAGGCCTCTTTACCAAGCTCCAAACTAAGTTAAATATTTCAAAAAGTTTAAAAGATATGAACATTCTGAAGAACAAGTTTTATAGCTGAGGGTCTTGTGATCCTTTTAAAGTTGGAATGAAAGCTGAAAGTATGTGGAGAAGGAGAAGCATTTGTTGCAAGGTGTAGGTAAAAGAGGATTTGAAGGTTCCTCCCATTGAGTTAAATGTTAAAAAAAAGAGTTTAAAAAGCTGAATATTTAAAAAAAATATTGAACTTTTGAAAAAGTTGAAAGTTTCCCACCATATGCTGAAAAGGCTGAATATTTTTGGCATTTGAATGGTTTCTGTAGCTGAAAGTAGGCTGAAGTTCTCGGACGGCAAAATATTGGTTGAAATAATAATAATAAGATATAAAGATTTGAAGAACTATAGTTGCACAGCATTCGTACTAACTATACAATTATCCAGTAAGATAGCTAATGTTATGCTAACTGGATGCTAATGCTAATGTAATGTTTCTCCGGAAGTTTTTCCTTGTACGATGTGAGGGTATAAGGTCAGAGGTTGTCGTTTTCTCATACTGATATTCTGCACAAATTGTGCTGTTGTATTTACTGTATAGTGTCCTTACTGTAAGGTAATTATTATATGTACAGCACTTTGGCTCGACCAAAAATAGTTTTAGAAATGTGCTATATAAATAAAACCTGATTTGATTTGATGCAGGCTACTTAAATGTATGTATACTGCAAGCTTTCCTGTTTTAAATCATATTTCCTGTGCGGTGGTTTTGTAACTGGAGTTCAGCAATCCTTTTGGACACCCGCAGTGAACAGTCAGCTCATGGCTGTCAGCTAACACATTTAGCATCTCTTGCTCCTCTTTGCTACGCCTCCCTGGTAAAGTTTCCATGTTGGAAAATAGTCAATTGTAGCTAGCTGTTTTTGGTCTGTTGTTTGCTGTGAAAGCGAATGACAGAACAGGGCCTACCAGCCATATTCTACCCAGAGTAGACCTGTTGATTAACAGTCAGTTTAAGCATTTCTGATGATGCACTTCTTTCCTTCCCAACAGTGTCGAAGGCGGTCGGTTCAATGTCAGCCATTGCCCTCAGTGTGACCATGTACCATCGCTCCATGCGCTCCTTCCTGCCCGACAAGGAGAAGCAGCAGTTGATCTCATCGGTGGTGTACTTCCTGTGGAACCTGCTCCTCATCTCCTCTCGCCTCACTGCCCTCGCCCTCTTTGCTTCCGTGCTGCCCTGCTTCATCTTCACCCACTTCCTGTGTTCCTGGCTAGTTCTGTTCTTCTTCCTCTGGCGATCCAAGACCGACTTCATGAGTAGCCCCTGCGGAGAGTGGCTTTACCGAGCCACCGTGGCCCTTATTTGGTATTTCGACTGGTTTAACGCGTTCAAAGGGGGGACGAGGTGCAAGACTATGGTCTACCACGGGTACATACTGGTGGACATTTCCGTCCTCTGCAGTTTGTGGTGCTGGAAGATGATCACGGATCCACCATTGTTTGAAGTTCAACTGCCATATGCTGTAATCGCTGTGGTCACTGTTGTTGCAGTCTATATCCTTGGTCTCGTTTTAAAAATCATTTATTATCGGTGCTACCATCCAAACCTGTCTAAAGAGGAGTTGAAAGGGGATGACACTAAAGGGCCCCCGGTTGATAAACGATTAATGATATGTGAAATACCTTCTGAAGATGTGGTAGATCTGTCCAAAGATGATTTAGAGGACAACGTTAGGTTTAGAGATCTAAATGATGAAGGTCGCAGCAATCCCGCCAAACCAGCAACCGAAATCAAACGTTGCAATAAAAGAATGAGGAAGTTGGCTGAGAACTTCTACTCCTGACCTGCATCACCTGACCTCCACCGGACTGAGTCATGCAGACTTGACCATCATGGGGTTGTGAGGGATAGAAGGACCTGCTTCCTGATTGTCCTCAGATTCAACCTCATGGGTTTAACCTAGACTGCTGCTTGTAAGCACGTAGCCTCATTCTGCTGTGCACATGAAGCTGCGTTATATTTGAAAGCTAATCAAAATCACATGGGCAATTACACAAATTATTTTATTTATTTATTACATTTTGAGATGCCTGTGCCCTCTGAGTGCATTTCTAGTTATTACTAGTTCCATGTGTTTCCTCTTTGTGCAAAAAAGCATTCCCCTATTTAAGTGACTGTATGGAAGGTGGCTCAACTTTAAAGAGATCCTATTGTGTTCATTTGCAGGTTCATATGACTATTTTGTGCCTCTACTGTGAAATGTACCATGCTTAAATGTTGAAAAAGCTCTGCAGCACCTCTTTTCACCCTCTGTCTGAAACCAGAGCCCTGTCTGCTCTGATTGGTTAGCTTGCTGGCTCTGTTGTGATTGGTCAACTGCTAGAGATGTCCCGCCTCTTAGCCTATCACGTACAATGTGTTGGAGCGCTATCCAATAGAATTGCGAGTGTTACATAGTGATCACATTATGTTACAGAAGTAAACAAAGGAGTCCAATGGAGGCGTTTCAGAATGGGGGGGGGGGAGAGAGTGTTTGGGAGAGAAACTCCCTCTGGAGGGGAGACCACATCGCCCTACTAAGATTTATTAAGCTCTTAAACAAACCCTTGCCTTGTAAAATAAAACTGCAACATGCTCTGATGAAACTCAAGATAATAGAAAAGCATTTAAATAGTACAACTGGTGCAGAAAGATTGAAAATGGTTTAAAGTATAGACTAGAGCTTTGACAATCATACAATATTCTTGATCATTTTTAGTCAGCACTTTTTCTACTGTTATTTAATTATGTTATGCCTTTCAGTAATTGTCTCATTGCAGCAGCACTGTCTTCTGTAGTTAGTACATTTACATATAGTATGTACAAATGTAATTGCATATTATATATGTAAAAATAAACAAACTTGTGATCGAAACTGTTTAAAGTTTATTTACATTGTATTGAGTGAACACAGGAAAACCATACAGCACTGTGTCGAGGTCCCAAACACCTAATGTGGGGGAAATAGTGATTATGGTAATTCATTTAGCATCGATTATTATGATCAGTTTTCAGGATCACAGTCAGGCTCTTTACATAACCCCATGTGACCTCACAAGTCCTCGAAGATGAGATGAAATACATGTCGGAAACACAAAACACACGATTACAAATAATAACAGCATTTGGCATCGAAAAGAAAGAGAGGATACAGAAGAATACAGCCCCCTTCAACAATACATGGTCATGGTATACTTCAAAATAGACATGACATGCAGACAGAGTATAGAAATAAACAGAAAATACAAATGTGTATGGGTTCTTAATGTTCGTGTCAAGACTGAGAACAAATATTTTCCCTTTAGTTATCTGCATTAAAAAATGCCATGTTCTATAGATGATTGTCTCTAAGCTATGGTGGGTATCACCGCAATAAAATAAATGAATCACCTTTTTAAAAGGAAGCATAATTCAAAAAGAAAGCAGAACGTGGAGTGAATAAGAACAACAGATTCAGTTGAGATTGATTTTCCTGGAAACATTTCTGGAATTTACAGCAAGCCAAGAAACCATTTTAGCTCTTCACTTAAACAATGAGCGACGGACATAAACCTTTCCTCCCAAACATTGATATTATAGTTTTCTAGAAAGACGACTTTCAAATACAGTGCAGAAAGGACAAATAAGTAAGATAACACTTTAGATAATAGAACAATGCAGTGATAAATGTATCAAACAAAAGACTTACATATTCCACTTTGAGATTATGCATACAGATGATGGATAAAGGCACAATATACATACACAGAAACACAAGACAGACAAAAATACACATTCTTAACGGTCAAGCTGCGTGACAGTAAATAAGAAATCTTCTTCAGGCTCAGAATTGTTCAGTCGTAATCTCATATGGACCCTCTGGGTTTTCCACAACATGAGAATCCCTTAAATGCGGTTAATGAGCAAAGTAAAATGTATTGCACTGTCACCACCGTGTGTTACAATGCGCCTTCCAGAGGTTGTGAATGAAAACTAAAGCTGTACAAGTGATTCTGTGGTTCTCAGATGTCTGACAACTAAAAATCTCAATGGACCGACGCGTGAATGAATGATCCCTTTGATAACTCTTCTGACAATCAGTCATTTCTTAAAGCAGAAGTACCACAATTCACTTTGTCATTCTGAATTCACTTGGTTTGCTTTGAAGATTTGCAATTTTTCTTATTCCTCTTTTATTTGAAATATGTTTGGGCTTTTGAAATATGGAGGATTAATATAACAAATACAAAATGTTTACTTTAAAATCATATGAGTCAAAGAAAAACATCAAATATTTTTAATTTGCAAAGCAGGAACCAGCTAATTTCACAATTATAACCAAAATGATGTTCAAAATAGATTTCGATTCTTTTTTTCTCTTGACAAGTTGTTGAGTTATCAAGTACAAAAGAAAATAATCTGCACCATTTTCAATAATGACAATAATCATTTTTTGCAGCTATAGTTTTTAACTATCTAATACAATGAATGCTTGCAAAACTGGGAAACAGAAGTATGCAAGTTACATGTTTTGGTATATTATCATTTCGACATTGAATTGCAACAAAGAATCTGATGATGAAAAATTAATCAAATTGTATTCTACTGGCTAACACGTCATTTTTCCCCTCGTTTTTCCCAAATGGTTTTCCAGCTTTATGTATCCTGCTCTCTTCATGGGGTGAGATGCTTTACTTGGAAGTTTCAAATGAAACCTCTTTAGTTATTATTACCCTCCTTAATGCGTTATCCGAGTCAGAGACTGAGAGAGCGGATAGATTATCTCAGTGCTGCTGTCGGTTTAAAAACCGCAGCTGAATTTCAGTTTACTACATGTTGGAGAAAGAGACCTTTTGTCTAACGCTTCCTGCTTCTGCAGATCTACACCCACATCCTGAACAGTATGGGCAGGCAAATTAAGTTCCTTTGAAAGTGATTTATAGAAAGAAGTTCCGAGAATACGTTCAGCTTACATTTCCCCTTAGGGTTAGTCAGACAGTTTGCTCGAGATGACATTGCATTACTTGCTAAACCTGTTGAATTAAATTGTGTAACTGAATCCCGGGTTATAGACAACATGTGTTTTGTGTTCACAGTGAAGCTGACCCCCACATTATAACCAGTTCATGCTTGTGTCCCAGTTTATCTTTCTGCGAAATTTGAAGAAATTCCCTAATAGCTTCGGTGAACATTTCACAAGACTCAGTGGGAAAGATACACGGAAGGAAAATCTGGAAACGTGATGATTCCTGTCACGGCTCTCACGGTGGCATAACAAAGAACTTCCATGTAATTTGGCTTGTACGCAAACTAGTTATGCCGAAAATGACATCACAAAACATGAGTGCAGATGAGGTTATAGATTAGGACACATTTTTCAGTGATTGGCTGACTAAAGCCTGTGAGAAGGTAACCTCATCTTTTACAGTCAATATAGCATGCACTGAAGAATGTACCTCTCCTGTTGAAACTGATTGGACATCCACATATACAGTGGGGCAAAAAAGTATTTAGTCAGCCACCAATTGTGCAAGTTCTCCCACTTAAAAAGATGAGAGAGGCCTGTTATTTTCATCCTAGGTATACCTCAACTATGAGAAAAAAAAAATCCAGAAAATCACATTGATTTTTAAAGAATTTATTTGCAAATTATGGTGGAAAATAAGTATTTGGTCACCTACAAAC